GCTCCACTGACAGTATTAAGAACAGTGCAGGAGCACTCAGTCCGTCCCTTGAGCCAGAGAAAGCCTTCTCACTTCGACGGACAGAAGTCACAGGTGGCAGGATACCTTTGGAACAGAGACACCAGGCTAACATGACCTCCCCTTGATTTTGTTTACTCCAAGATTTCCAAAACCCTTTTGGAACTCACAGGCCAAACTTTACCATGGCAGAGGTAGGATTTGTCTTCTCCCTTCTTGGCCAAAGAGGGCAGTGTGACAAATTGGTACCAAATTTATAGAAGTGCTTTGAAGGTTGGAAGTACATGGTAATTTTTCTGACTTCCATTGAATTTTTTTTAAGGTTTTGTTTTTCTTAATGAGAAATTCTGGCTTCTCCAAGAAGGCCCTGCAAGGACAGATTACAAATTACTGTTGGAATGGTTTTTTTAACCATTATTGAGTTTTTCAAGAGATTGATTTCCCTGCTTATTTTGATCTCTTTTCTTCTAACCCTGCTTCCTCGCTTGGCTCCGGTGAGGACAGGAATTATCCTCTACCAGCTTGTGGCGAGCTCTGGGAGCGTGGTAGCATTTTGAGGAGGAGGTGGCATCCTCAGCAAATCATGGCTCTCCCCAGCAGGCGCGGTCAGGCTCAGTTTCTCTGAGGGCTTCCTCCTCCAATGAAGGACTTCTATTTTAATTAGAGAGAGACTGCAAAGTTCTGTCCCTCCTTAGCGGGTTGTTCCTGTTCCTCACTCTGTGTCACCTGTGTGGAGCTCATTCCAGCTCACTTTGTGACTTGGGGTAGGCTTCCAGGCTGGCTGAGTGGCTGAGCGCATCTCCCGCTGCCAACACCAGCACTCCAAGAGCATTAAGCGGCATGGGAGAGGCGAGAAACATGCTTTGGAGACGAGGGTCCTTTGCCTTAGAGACTGCAGTGGGTGGAAGGGGGAGGTCAGACAGTTCTTTTCCAAGCTATGTGCCTAAATACCAGCACTCTCCTGGCGAGGGAGGAACTATAGGCGGCTACAACACTAATAGCACCCGCATTGTGAGGGGGTGTGAGGTGTGGCTAAGCAGGGCGTGAGGGCCTGGCTTGTTTGTCTTCTGGCCCTGTAGCAGCATCAAACTGCATCTGATTTCACTGCCCTCTGCTTCTGAGGGGAGCAGGGAGCTCCAGGCGGTTTTCTCTTTCTCCATTCCTTGTGCTCCAAATGAAGGAGACTACCAAGACTGAAAGAAGGTTCACTTCAATTTGTGCAAAGGAGGTGGTGTGATCTCTCTTTTGTGACCAGCATTTACAGATCACTCAGGCTGATGTGATCTATAAAATAAATTTTAAAAAAGTTTGTTCCAAGTAAAAGGGTGTCTTCTTGATTTTTGTCCCTCTGGAAAACCAGGCTGAAATACAGAGGAGGAAGCAGGTTTGGCTGGCATCAAGTTCCTTTGCTGGCTCCAAGGGGAGGCTGTGCTCATAGTGGTGGCAGGGCAAGGCATGGCATAGCACAGGAGAGCTGCTGCTGAGCCTCTGCACAGCCCTGACAGCTTTTACTCTGGCCAAAATGAAGTGCACCTTGGTGGGCAGTGGTAAAATGAGAGCATGTGTGTGGTGTGAGCTGTGCTGCATGAGATGTGTGTGAGTGGGTGTGAAGAGCAGCTCTAGCAAATCACTTGGGGCCAGCCCCATGACAGCACTTGCAGTGCTTCTGTACTGTGCTCCCTGAGGCATGTACCTCACCTGCTCCTGCAAATACAGTGGGGCTTCTCCAGGGTTTGCAAGGAGCCTTTTTCTGTCTCCTCGATTGGTCTCAGAGGTTCACAAAGGCTTTTTCTGCTCTCTACAGCCCTTTCATAGGTAAGTGTTAGGCTGTGGTAGCTGGAGCTGAGACCCAGACAGCCTTTCTCCTCCTGGAGACAGGAGGAAAGCCTGGCCCTAGCGTGGTCTTCTGGGAGGAGCCGTATGGGTATTCCTTAACATAAGCCTTCCTCCAAGCCCAGGTTAAGCAGACACGGTTGTGACCCTCCTCAAGCCAGTTCAATTTCTTATTTTTCAGCCTTTTTTATGCACTAAGTTAACTTTCTCATGCTAAGGAAAATTAAGTATTTCCTTTCTCCTTGCTTTGTAGCTGATGAGTAGTTAACAGCCCACATGAGGGAAAAGAGAAGCACGCAGATACCCTGAACTGGGCTTTGTGTCAGGCTTTGTCTCTGCTAACCCAGCCTCACTTGATGCTCCTCAGGGCCAAGCTGGGCTCTGCTTATGGTAAGGCAGAGAATGGGAAGGCTTGGGAGGTGACTGCAGAATGAGGACAGCCAAAATACCACAGACTTAAGTCTAGTAGAAGATTTTAGTCCCAAGGAATTGGAGATTTTAGGAGTAAGTCTTGTTTTCGGCATTGTTTCAAGCAGTTTTTGCATCCTTGAGCCTGCTCAATGACAAGGTCATAACTTTGTTAACTGCCCTAGGGTTAGTACATCAAGCTGGAAAATAAGGATTTGCCATAAAACTACACGGAATAGCTCCAAGAATAGCTTTTTTATCTACTAGCTGTGCATCATTCCCAACAGCAAATTCAGTTACAAAACATCCAAACCACTGTGGGCAGTTTTGATATAATTTATGTCTTGGTCTTTTTTTTTTTTTCCTTGCATAGGCATAAATTACAATCTGTTGATTAAAAAATAAAAGGAACAAAACAGTGCAGCATTTGCAACAGGCTACAGCATCAAACAAATTCCTGTCCATAACCATCTGTTTCTGCAGGGCTAATTTGTAACACATGTGTAGGGCAAACTGAGAAGGAGGGAGAATAGAAGAGGGAAATGGAGTAAATAAGAGAAATCTGCTCCCACAGCTGTTCTACATTTCTCCTGCCTCACCAGGCTCATCTTTGGCATCAGCTCTAGGATTAAATACCCCTGGGCAGAGAAGCACATGCTGAAGCAGCAGTTTTCTGTGCCCTCTTCTTCTGCAGCTCTGGGAAGTGCTGCAGAAATGCTGCAAGCTACCATCCCCAAGAGCCAGCGACTCTGGGCACTAGGCACAGGTGCTTAGGCTGCAGCCCAGTACTGATGCTGAATTTGGGGGCTGAAAACCCCCATGTAGCCTCAGCATATATTCCTGGGGATCCTCACACAGATGGCGTGGTGAGGCCTCTAAAACCAGCTAGAAAAGACCATGAAGCCCCAGGAGGAGGTCTCACTGGTGGCTCCAGGGAGTTCTACTTAGAACAGCAAAGATTTTCATGTCCAAAGGACAGGGCGAGCTTGTGCTTTAAAGCCAAATGCTCCCTACCCCAAGCACAGCAGTTAACACCCACGTGGAAGGAGCAGAGATCCCACTACAACTCCATTTGCAGGGGAAGAGGTCACCTTTCCTGCCTCTCGCCAGCATGCCTGATTTACCATAAAATCTTCTTTTTCTTGGGCAAAGACCTTGTCTGTCCTTACAGTCCAAGCCAGAGACCAGGGAGCCAGAAGGAACATAAGAAAAGGTTTTTTCCCAGGTTCATGGTTGTAGCTCTTGCTCCATCAGCCAGAGAAGGGTGAGAAAAAGGGAGAGCTTCATCTCTGCTCTCTTTTTTGATTCAAATAAAAAGAGGAGCTGGTCTGCTGAGCCCAGAACAGGTCTAAGTTCTGGGCTAAAAGCACAGCTCCATGTGCTCAGTGCACTCATGGACATGACTCCAAGGGAAGCAGGCAGCTGTAGACAAGTTTAAAATAACTTTGGCTGTGGATGCCAAGAATTAAGACTACGCTCAGTATAGGAGAGAATTTATAGTCCCTGGCTCTGGCTCCAGGTCAGCTTTCTCCCTGCAGCAGGGCCTCCCAGCTCTGCAAGAGACTCCACAGGGTAATTTTAATCTGTTGGAGATAGGACTGTGCCCTCTGGGCTCACTTCCCCAGCTTGGAGCAAGGAGACCCCTTCAAAAGGGATGTGTTGCTACCATCCTCACCTTCCCAGGCTGGCCTGTCAAGGCTCAGCAGATCTGCCTGATGCCCATCAGGGGATGCTGAAAGGAGACCCTTCTTCAGCCCCTCCTCCTCTAGGCCTGCAGTGCTTCAAGCAGAGACCATCAGAGTGGGAATCACTACCTGGTGCTCTCATGGTGTCAGGGGGGAAGGACAATACCAGCACTGGACAGGGCTGAAACACTGACCATGAGCCCTTTAGCTTTTCTTTCAGTGAAACACAACAGAAAGCTGGAGGCTGTTAACACCATCCAAAAACATTAGCCAAACTTTGTGATGCAGGCAGGCAGGAGGTGGAGAGGCCAGATGGCCCTAGCACTCCTCAGCCTGGGGAAGGTCCCTGTGCATCCTTCCTGCAAACCCCTGCTGTGCCTCCACCCATCCCAACAGTACAGGCAAGATTTACATGCCCACTACAGGCAGAACTCCCCCTCCTGCTCCAGCCCACAGCCAGGGCTCAGAGAACAGCACAATGCCAGTGAGGAGAGGTAGGATGAAAAGGGAGCCCTTCCAAGAGAAAGGAGGTCAGCCTGCACCAGCCATCTGCCATCGAAGACCCGAGAGCTGAGGGAGCCCTGCAGGCAAGGGGTGACTCTGCATGCTGGCACCTGCAAGCCCTGGTGATTGCCCCATCTCCCCCTCAAGAGCCCTGCAAAGCCCTGGGGCAGCAGCTTGTTGCTAACAGTCAAGTATATACAGATGCAGCCATGGGCAAGAGGCCACAGCCACGCATTGCAGTCTCAGAGGACATCCAGAGCAAGGAGGGCAGGAACTTTCTCCAGCGCCCCACCAGCAGCAGTGCACAGAGAACCCCAGCTTCCAACCCACCAACAGCGTGAGGCCCGTATTTTAAACAGTTCTGCTCATCACATTCTAGCTTATCCTACTGTGTGTGCTATTCTACTAAACAAAGCTCTAGCCCTCTCCACATCTAAGCCACTCATCCAAGTGGCACCATGTAACATTCTCTGGTTAAGTACAAATTGCATGGAAAAAGTATTTTTTCCCTTTGTTACTACAAACCCCCCCAACCCCGCAAAAAAACCAACCCCAACACCCCAACTGGAAAATAGCTTCCCACCCCTCTTAAAAAAAAAAAATATCAGAACAAACCCCAAAGGAAAAGCAGGCAACAGGAATTTTCAATAGCATCATCAAGCTTAACACTGGGGAGGCAGCCAGCCAGGGAGGCCAACAGCATCGCCAAGACCCAACTCAGCTACTGGCAGCAGGAGGGCTTGACTGGATGGATGGCAGCACCAAGGTGGGCTCTGCCACCAGCGCCTGCCACGCTCCTCTCCTCCTGCTTCGCAAACCATTAACATAGTTTTATGTTAATACTTAATTAATACTGTCTTATTTCCTCTCTGCCAGCCCAGCATTGGAGGGCTGGAGATCTTTACCAAACCAACACCAAGGCAAGAGAAGTGACCCTGTGTAGAGGGAACTCAGTGGCCATGACTGGTGGCTCCCACCTACTCTGGCAGCACCGAGTCAGGCACCATGGTCCCACACACCGATCTCCTGCACCCAAGCCCGCTTGAAGCACATCACAAAATGACACACTCCTTTCCCAAGCCCTGGCCATGCTAGAAAGGAGCGGGACAACAGGGAAGAGGGGCAGCGCAAACCCGATACAAAGTTAGCTTAAAAAGTTAAAATGTCCCATACCCACTGAAAACAAGCCAGGCTGCGCTAGGACCCACGTGGGATGCTCTTGCCTCACCACCCCGGTCCTTGGAAGAGTGAAAGCCTCACCCCTTCAACACCAACTCTTCTCCTCCCCCCCAGGGGAGCAGCTTCCTGGGGTGGCTGCTGGCACATGCCAGGATTTCTAAGTGCAAAGCAGTGAACCAGATGCATCCCCTCCTGCTGTCAGCCCAGCAGCATCCTCATCCTGTGCAGGGTCGGGGGTCAGTGCGCCGGCTCCCCGTGCACGCGGAAGCGGTAGATACAGGTGTATTCGGGGTGGCCCCAATTGCTCAGCACCCGGAGCTCCACCAGCTGGTATGTGCCCACGGAGTCACCCTTGGGGAGGAGGGAAAAGAAAAACCTGAGACCTTGAGGGCTCTCTAAGGCTGAGATCCCAGAGGCCCCATTTTCTTCTCAGGGGTCAGGTGCTCCAGGGGCAAAGTATTTACCTCCAAGTAAAATGTTTGGATGGGGTCGCCATCGTGGTTGTAGGTGAAGCGTCCAAGGAGAAGGCCCTCCTCCTCTCCTTCTTCTTTTAAGCCCTATGGAAGGGCAGGGAGGCAGAAAGGGAGAACCAGGGGTCATCAGAGAGGGAGACCAGAGGTGATGCACACATGCAGGGCAGAAGAGGGAGAGGGAGACGCAAGGGTGCTTGGCGCCCACTCCTGCTCTTCCAGATCAAAATAGACAAATGGGAACAGGGACCAGTGGGGAAGGATGAAGGGGGGGAAGACCAAAAGTTACACCTCCTCAAGCCCCTTTGTCCCTGTGTCCCCCTAAACTTTCTGAAACCTGGTACTGCCCTTCCCCCACCAGTATTGCTGCTTCTTCTTCTTCAGGGTAAGACCAACCCCCCGCCCAGAGCACCCCACAACCAGGTGTGGGGTTTGCTAGCAATCCCTTCCAGCACCCTCCCACTGTATTCCCCCCACCCTCAGGTCTGGGCAAGGGCACTCACATAGACAGCAAAGTCCTTGGGGGCACTGGGGATGGTCCCCTGCGGTGAGAGGGCTTTTGGGATGTGCTCCAGCGTGACGGCCGTGGGGCGGATAATGCCAGAGAGGCGGATGACAGCAAAGCCCTCGGAGCCACGAAATGCCCAGCAGTTCCCAGGGTTGACATCTGGCTATGAGCATGGAAGTAAGACGCCAACGATGTTACCACCATCATTTTTCTCCCACCAGTCTGGCTGCTGGCTTGGAGCAACAGTTAAGGCCCAATAAAACCCCCATGAGAACTAGCCCAGTCCTCCCAGTCGGCGCCCACCTGCAGGATGACACGGGGGGACTGCGAGTGGTACCACAGGGGGATGCCGAACAAGCTCAGCAGCGCTGTCCGTGTCTCGTAGGTCTCTGAGCAGCGAGTGTTGATGACGCTGGCCCCTGGCATGAGAGGGGATGGCAGCAGGTGAGCTGCGCGCCAGCACCTTGCGGTCGCCTCCCCAAACAGCTGGCTCATCCCCACCACCTACCTGCTGACTCGAGGGCATAGTCAACCATCCCCACACGGTCCTCGCTGTAGCGCTTCAGGGCCTGGCCCACGATGAGATGCACTTGCTGCAGGGGGAACAGAGGGCACAGGAGGGTGATGAACTGGGGCAGGCATCCTGCCCCCACCCGCCTGCCCCAGAGGGACAGAGGGTGCAAGGACCTTCCCACAAAACAGCCAGGAGAAAGAACAGCCAGCGCATGAATCACCGTGGCAAAAATGAGAGGACACGCATTTGGCTGGGAAGCCTCATGAGAGGTTGCTAAAAATACCCCAGGGGAGAGGAGCTGTGCAGAGAAGGGGCCGTGCCTAGGCACGCTGCACTTGCCTATCCCCAGGAGGGGCTGGCCCACAGGGAGGAGAGGTACCACCAGACACGACCTGACAGACTACCCAGAATCATCTGCTGGTCCCTCCTGCCCTGTCCCACAGGATTTATGGGAGCTTCCCCCCATCCAGAAAAGGAGGAGATGGCTGGAGCATCCATCTGGAGCCAAACCCAGCCTAAGAAGCTAGGACCCTGCAGCATCACTTTGGGTCTAAACTTTACGGAGAACACAAAGCTTGCACAGACTATGGAGACTGCTAATCCCAGCTTGATCCCTCCCTCCACTACCTCCACAGGGAATTGCCAGCAACTCTTTCCAAAGCAAGTGGGCTCATTTTTTCCCCTTGGTGTCATTCTGCTGAAATGCTTTGCACCAAACAATGCAGCAGCACTGCTGAAGTATGGGAATAAGCAAGATGCTCCACCCATGGAAGCTTTGTTGGCACCTGTCCCACGTTCTGGGTGAAGAATGCATGAGCATTGGATTTTGAGGCAGTAAGAGCCTTGCAGCACTGCAGGCATTATCACATGTGACCCCTTCCAGAGCACAGAGCAGGCACAAACTGAGAAGGGAGGGGCTGAGAAGGAGTTTCAAGAGTCCTCTTGCATCCTGTGAGCCCAGGATCAATATACATCCCAGCTGTGCGGGCAGTCCCAGTGCCTCTGACAGCCCCATGCACACATGAAGAGGGCCACAGTTGCCAGCCCCACACCTGTGGTCACCTCATATCCCTGGGGCTCAGGCCAGTACTCACTTCCTCTGTCACTCCTGCAGTCCCTCCTTGCCTCAGGGCAACTCCAATACCGGCCTGAGCATCCCGTGCTGACAGTCTCCGGTCCTCCAGGACTTTTGCAAGGATCTTGCGCTCCAGAGCCTGGAGCTCTGCCTGCAAGTCTTCTCGCTGGAGGATGAAGGCAGCAGCACCATCCTGCTTGGACTGTGACAGGAACCTACCGATCCACACCGGGAACTGCGCTTCCACCTGGAATGGTGTGGACAGAGCTCAGCCCTGGAGCAGGGACCCTTGCTTGCCTTTCTGCCAAACAGGCTGGGGCCTAGGGACTCACATCAGCCCGCACTGTCTTCAGCTGCTCCAGTATCCCCTCCACGTGCTTCCCCATCACCTCCTGGTCTGACTTGAGGCTTGCCAGCTCCCTCCTCAGCACTGCCACCTCCTGCTCCAGCTTGCCCACCTCCTGCCGGAAGGTCCCTCGCAGGCTCTCCTCCACCGAGCTGTGCCGAGAGAAAGGTAACAAAACCTCGTGCCACTAGGCCCAATTAGCCTCTGCAAACTGGAGGAAGAGGTTCATCCCACATCACCTATGCTCAGCCCCATCTCCAGACCCGGTTTTAATTCCAGTGGCAGTGACATCTTCAACTGCATCCCATGGGAAAGCATCCTCAGCTCACCCCTCAGCTGAAGGACCACATTCACAGTGATGCAAAATGACACTGGCAAAGGTCATTTGCTGCCACTGCTCTTGGAACCCTGCTGCCAGCCACAGAATCACAGAATGGGTCAGGTTGGAACAGACCACAGGGGTCATCTGGCCCAACCTCCCTGCTCAAGCAGGGCCATCCCAGAGCACAAGGCACAGGATTACTGATGGTTCTGGATTATCTCCAGTGAGGGAGACTCCACAACCCCTCTAGGCAATCTGTTCCAGTGTGTGGTCACTGCACAGTAAAGTTCTTCCACATGTTCAGGTGGAACTTCCTGTGCATCAGTTTCTGCCTATTGCCTCTTATTGCTTGGCAGCACTGAGAAGAGCCTGGCCCCAACCTCTTGTCACTCTCCCTTCAGCCACTGATGAGGTCCCCTCAGTTGTCTCTTCTCAAGGCTGAACAGACCCAGCTCCTTCAGCCCTTCCTCATAAAAGAGATTCTCCATTCCTTCATCATCTCCACAGCTGGACCCTCTCCAGGAGCTCCATGTCTCACTTGTACTGCTGAGGAGCCCAGAACTGGACACAGCACTCCAGAGATGGTCTCACTAGGGCTGGGTAGAGGAACAAGATCTCCCTCAACCTCCTGACAATGCCCTTCCTAATGCACCACCCTAGTATACCACTGGCCTTTTTGGCCAGAAGAGCACATGCTGGCTCCCACAGACATCCACCTATGTATCCTTCCTTCCTTTTCCCCCAAGACTATGCTTCTTGAGCTCTCCTTTGTCCAAAACCAGGCCTGCAAACCCCTCCTAAGCCTGGCTGAGGGGAATTCACCCACATACCTGCCTGCCCCTAACAGAGCAGGGCCTTGCCCCACAGCCAGCATTACCTCTGCCACTCCGAGTTCAGCTCCAGCAAACGTGCCTCCATCTCCTACCAAGAAAAGGGGAAGGGGTGAGACCTGTGACACCACTGGTGAGGGTGTCCTGTCCAGGTACCACCACATGCTCGTCTGCTTACCTGGGAAGCTTGCGTCATCTTGCCTAGCCGTCCATCTAAATCCCTCTGCACCTGGGCTCGGAGTGCATCCAGCTCACCCTGAAGGATGAGGAACAGGGTGGAATGTCAGAGCCTGGCCCTGCAGACCCCCATCTCCCTGCACTCCCCGTTTCTCTCACCTGCAGGTGGTTGGCCATGTCGGTGCGGAGATGCTCCTTCAGCCCCGCGTCCCGGCGGCTCACCAGCCCCTCCAGCAGCGCAGGAATGTCTCCTGGGGGTGGTTCTCCCCCTGCTGTCACTGCTGCCGCCCCACGACGCAGCTCCCACCGTGACAGCTCCGCCTCCAGTGCCTCAAAGCGCTTCTCAAGGGACTGGAAGCGAGCCAGGAGTCGGTGTCCCCCCTGCAGTGACAAAAACAAGGTGTGATGCACCCCTCCAGGGGAGTGCAGGCTCCGCAGGACCCCTGTGAAAGGGGACGCTGACCACCCATTCTCCAGTGGCATCTTATTCATCTGCTGCTTCCCAGGAGAAGGCAAGGCTCTCCTTGGTGTCCATCCCAGGGACACCCAAGAGTGAGATGGCTACAAGCTGGGGAAGCCAGTGTGGAGCCATCATCTACCCCATTCTCTACCACTCCTCATACCCTAGAAGCAATTATTCAGCCATGGATCACACTGTCCCAGCTCTCCCTTCAAGGCACTCATCCCACCTGGGCCACCATCATGCCTTTGCTGAAGCTTACCTGGTCCAGTGTGGTCAGGTCCCCTGCCCCAGGAACATCGGAGGAAGAGGAAAGCTTTCCAGCTCCCCACCATGGGAAGGAAGGCAGGCTTAGTGTTGACAACCCGTATGGGTAGAAGTACCAAGCTCCTGGGCACAGAAGGATGAGATCGTCAAAACCACAGGTTGGCAATGGGCCACAGTAGTGGACAGGGTGGACATGCAGAGGCTCAGCCATCAGCATCACCAGGGATAACCAGGAGACACTGGCAGGGGGATGCAGATAGACCAGGACACCAGAAAGCCACAAGCACTGAGCTCCAGGCCATCCCATCCCCCAGCTATGGCAGAGGATGCTCTGCACTGCCCCAGATCTCAGGGCAGCACATCAAGGGAGGCTGGCTCACCGTAGGCGGCTGCAGCGAGGAGCAGGAGGAGCAGCAGCAGCAGCAGGGACCTCTTCAGACGTGGGTAGCGCCTGGAGCATGGAGAAAAAAGAAGTGCCTGTACGACTGCAGCCACCTTCCATCACCTTTGGATGGGGGCCAGAGGGAAAGCAAAGATGACAAGACACCCACCACCCCAAACGTGCCTTCCCTTTCCAGGGTCCTGCAGGTTCTCCCCACACTTCCATCATCCTGGTGTCCCCCCCAGCACTCTCACCTGGAGAAGGGGACAGTGTCCCGGTGGGAAGCCGTGCCAGTGAGGCGGCGCCAGGCCCCTGCCAGCCTCGAGAACAGCCACCGCATGAACTGAACTGCCAGGAGAAAAAACAAACCTCAGGAGGAGTCCTGGCAGAGATGTCCCCTCCATGCCCAAGGGTGGCACCACAAGGGGATAAAACCACCACTCCCTCCAAATCCCATCCACCCAAACAGGGAATAGCACACACAGCATCTGAAGAGTAAAGATGCTGACTGGCAAGAACACTGCTGCTAGAAGTGCCCCTGCCAGCCCTCCACTCACCTGGGGAGGTAAACACCTGCCAGAGGAAGGAGCCCACCCGGGAGGCTGCAGTTCTCAGACCAGACCCAGAGCTACTCTGGCTTGAGTAATAGTGACCTGGAGAGGAACCAGGAAGTCACCAATGCAGACAGCATCCCAGTGCATTGCCACAGCAAAGACTTTGCACTGGGGGTGGCATCCAGCAGGGACTGGCAGCACACTGGGCACACCCAGGCCCCGAGCTGGTCCCTCTGGGACCTCCTTGCATTCCTGCCACTACAGACACACTAGTGCAACCCTACCAGCGTAGTCGTCCTCCGAGGAGTACCCAGATGAAGATGTGTAGGTGTCGTATGTCTTGCTCTCTAGCACCCCATTGATCTTACTGGACTCGGTGTCCCCTGTGCCTCTTCTCCTCCTGGTGGAGAGCTCTCCACCTGTCCCCAAAACACAGAGTTCCACTGAGAAATCACCCACCACACCACTTCCACAACGGGCAACCCAGTCAGCCAGCCTGGGCAGTTGCCCCAACACTCTCCGGTGTCCAGGGAGGCCCCCAGCTGCCCTAGGAGAGTGGGAGGGCTCACCCCAGTACGTGCTGCTGTCCAGGTCATCATCCAGCATGGAGCTACCCAGGGCAGCAAGGCCCCGGCTGCCCCCCAGGTAGGACTCGCTCATCATGGACTCGCTGTAGTAGGAGGTTTGGGTGCTGGGGGCGGGAGAGAGGCGCTTTGTGCTACTCGATTTCCTCCTGATCGTCCTGCGGGAGGCGAGAACAGGCTCATCAGACACGTGTGGTTACAGGGTGGGGGGCGGGTCACAGCGCACCCATGGGGGGAAATGAGGAATTCACCCCAATCCCTCGGCCATCATCACTTCCCTCCACACCGGATGGCGGTAGCTTTCGGAGGCTGAAACCTCTGCTTTGCGGAGGCCTCCCGCCCGTCCCGGGCATCGCTTCCGCTCGCACCGCTGCGGTTTTCCGGCCGGCACTTGCAGCACACCTCCCCTCCTTCCCTCCCTCTCTCCTCCCTCCCTCCCTCCTGCCATCCAGCTGCAGCTGGCACCCGGCCACCCACGGCAGGCTCCAGTGCCGGGCCCCTGGGGACGCAGAGGTGCCTGGGCAGGGAGCGCGGGGCTCTGGCTGGAGCAGGGGCGCAGCCGGTGCCGAGGCGGCCATGCCGGAACGGGCCGGGCTCACCGTCGTGCTCCCTTCTGCAAGCCGTGCCCACAGCCCAGCCGGGAAGGTGCCCGGTCCCCGGTGTGGGATGGAATGCCCCGCCCCTGTCAGAGTGGGGCAGGGGGAGCCCCCCCAGCTCGTGCCCCCCACTAACCTGCCGGTGGTTTCCTTGAAGGGGAGCTGTGTCCCACCCAGCAGAGATGTGCTGCTGCTGCTGGTCGCGGCATCATCGTCCCCGGGGTAATAGCGGGTGGTGACAAGGCGCTGGCTGCGGCGGGACATGGCGGCAGCGCGGAGGGGGAACTCGGCTCACCTGGGGGTGGGGAGAGGGCGGGGGAGAGAAGGAAATGTCAGCGGCAGGGTCCCTGGAGGGACGCGGCCAGCGGGATCCCGCTCGCAGGGACCCCACCCCTGTGGCACGGGTCCCGGCCCACACCGAACACCGTCCCGAGCTGGCGGCCGTGGGATGGAGCCGCCTCCCCGTGCAGGCCGATAAACCCCTTCGCCTCCTTTCCCCTCCGCGCGTGGGGCGGCTGCACCCGGCCCCTCCGCACCCCCGGCCCGACACATCTCCCCCAAGGCCTCGGTACTGAGCCACCCCGCCCGCAAGCCCGGCTTTGACCCGCCGTCCCCCTCGCAAACCCACCGGCAAGCGCCGCGCAGCAGAGACCGATCCCCTCCGTCCTTCCCGGCCGCTGTCGCCGCCGCCGCTCCCTTTTGTTTTGCGGGGGAAGGCGGCACCCGCCTCCCCGCCTTCCCCCCGGGCCCCCCCGCCGCCGCCGCCGCCCCGCCCCGCCCCGCCCCGCCCGCCGCCGCGGAGAGGGGGGCAGCCACCGCTCACCCGGCCTCTGGGGACCTCTTCTTTATCATCATCATTAGTGCTATTTTTATTATTATCGCCACCGGCATATTCTTTTTATTTAATTTAATTTTATTTCCATCATTTGGGGGGGCGGGGGCGATGATGAGGGCCCATCCGCACTCCGCTGCCCACCGGGACCTGGTCCCCAAGCACCTCAGCCCTGGGGTTCCTCCCGCCACGCCCAGCACGGGCAGCAGTCAGCCCACGCTGCCAGCCAAGGGCACGGGTGCTGGCAGCCCAAAATGGGAGCTCCCAGGTGCAGGGCTGCACCTCAGTGCCATTTGGGCTTTGCTGGGGTGGCTGGTTTGCTGGTCCTGGTGGGGTGGGAAATCCCCGCACCCCAAGCGCCACCCGTTCGGCGACACGGCCGAGCCTGTCCCTGGGGCGTGGGCAGCCCCGCTCGACACCCGTGTGCCCACGCCGCCCCAACTGGGCTGGCGTGTTCTGCTGCTCCGCGGGCCGCTGGCCCCAGACACCCCGCTGCCATCGCTCTTTCCCACGGGCGGCTGGGCAGGCTCGTCAGGGGCGTGTGAGCCGAGCCGGGCTGCTCCCATGGGACCTTGAACCGCTGCGGCACAGCTGGGACCTTGTGCAAACTCACCAGGCTGAAAAAACAGCCACACTCCCACACCCGCGTTTTAAACCTGTCGGCGCCCCGGAGAAAGATTTGCCTGCGGGAGCTCTGAGAGTCAGGGCAGCTGGCCACCTGTGTCTGGACGCGGTTGTTTAGGCTGTGTCTGCGGGGCACGATGCAGGAATGGTCCCCCTGGCTTTGGGAATGGGACAAAAAGGTGTTTATATAGAGTTTAAAAAATACGAAGCTGGCAGAAGGGAAGGAACCTATTGCAAAACAGCCCTGAAACCTTTTCCTCCGTGTGCTGGGCTTTGGGGCACAAGCCAGGGCAGTGGCAGGAGGACGTGCTGTCAGCATCGGGGGGGCACACCGCAACAAACCCCGATTCAGCGTCCCCAGCCCCGTTGTGTAACGCAGACAGATCCTCTTTGTCTCCCTTTTTTTTTTTTTTTGCCTTCCTTTTGAGCCCATTTTTTGTTCCAGCCAAAATCTCTGCCTAGCTTTTCCAGCTCCATCTCCCACTGTGCCAGCTGCCCTTTTTCACCCTTTCCTGTGGATTCCCATCCCTTTGCGAGCGTCTGGCTGGGACAGAGGACATCTCCCCTCCCCAGTGGCACCTTTATCTCTGGCCATGAAGATGGCAATCCTGTGTCCCGACCTGGGTACAGTGGCAGTGGCTGTCACAATGGCACCTGCTCCAGGTGACGTAACCCTGCGTGGATTAACCCCCCTGGGAGGCTCAGGGGATAAGCTGGGTGCTGAGCCACCAGGCGCTAAGTAGGGTGCACAGACCCAGGTCAGTCCATCCCCTCCTCAGAACACACTTATTTGGATGTGAAGGGAGTCAGTGGCAGTTCCTGAGGGATTTAGGAAGATGCTTTGAGGAGAGTGGAGTTTGTCCTTGCTGCATCCCTGGTCCTGTGTAGGAGGCGATGATGCCAGAGCCATGGGAGTTTTTGAGTGGGTGTGGGAAGACTGGAGCAAAGATAAGTGGTGTGTAGCTGGGAGCTTCTGCCTCATTTTCCCCACACCAGCAGTGGGGGTGGCCTCAGCTCTCTTTTTGGGGGTCACCAGGGCATCACCATGCTGGGGGTGGGGCAGGAGATTGCCAGCTGTTCCAGTTTGGCAGCTCCTGCTGGGGAAAGGCAGGAAAAATCCCTACCCTTTCCTAAAAGGCTTTGGAGGGCTGAAGTGACACGTCCAGGCACGCAAGGAGAGGCCAGGGCTGGGAAAGCAGCCTTAGTGGAGAAGATCACAGCTCGTGTCTTCTCCACTAGGCCAACCTTTTTATTTAAATTCCCTCCCTGTCCCAGTTATCCTTACAACCTGCTTTCCTGGTTCATCACGCCACCAGCTCTGGCACCACCAAAAGCTGACGCTACACAGAATCAGAGCTGCACATCGATCCCCACATCATCCTGGGCAGCACACCAAAACAGCCCAATCCAGCAGGGTACCCAGCCCCCCATCACACCCATGACCCCACATCATCCACCAGCACCTCTTCCTGGCGGGCTGCCCTGGCCAGGCAGTGTCCCACCGCCACCAGCACCTTCCCCAGGCGCCGGTCCAGTGCCCACAGGTGGGGCTCAGCCAGGACAGGGGCCAGTGGATCTGCAGCCAGCGCCTCCCGCAGCACGTCACTCAGGCGGTAGGGCTGGGTGGCCAGCAGCTGCAGACGCAGGTAAGTTGACTTCTTGATGCTGCCAGAGATGAGGAGGGAGAGGTCTCAGTAGGAGGAGCCTCTCCCCAGCAGCAGATCCAGGGTGGGTGGCAGCCCCTTACCTGCAGCATTGCTGGAGAGGGGCCAGGATGGATGGTTCATCACGTGAGTGTGTGCCGAAGCTGGGGGTGGGGAGAAGCCCATAAGGGTGTGTCAGAGTGGCATTTTGGCAAGACTGGAGGTCTCCTCCACCCCTTTGCTGTGATTGCTCCCCCCTACTCCCCAACTTTACCCGCGACCATTGTCCAGGTGGAGCAGGAAAGTGTCATTCCCAAATTTCTCAAAGGTCTCGTAGTGGTGCCGGTCCATGTTGCCTGTGGCGGGCCAACAAATTTGGCATCAGGTTGTGGGCTGGGAGATAGGAGCAGGGACATGGAGCACTCTGCTGGTGTGAAACTGAAACCCAGAGCCTGAGGAAAAGGGTTGGAGGCACCTCGAAGGTGTCCATCTGGTGGCCATGGCTGTGCAGGGGAACTGAGCAGAGACCCCATGGCCTCCAGGCCCCTTCCCATCCCAGCAGCCCCACAGAGGGACAACAGTGGCAAATGGAGCAGAAGTAATGGCAAAGGCATGACTGGGTGGTCAGGAATGAGGAGATGGGAAACTCTCCCAGTCAGATGCTGGTGAGGGGACAGTGCAGGGAGGAAAAAGTGGCCCAGGGACAGGAGAGGAAACAAGAGCCCTGGGCAGCATCATCTCCACCTCTTGGCTCTCCAGGGGCTGCATGTGAGAGCGTGCTGGAAGGTGTTTCCCATATCCATGGTACTAAGCTGGGATCTCCTCAGAATCTCTGGACCTTCAACTTCTGCCTGGGAAATGCCCTGGTGGCACAGCCCTGTGCCCTCATTGTGGGTAAGACTGCAGCTCACTGCAGCCTGAACAACAGTTTGGCCAACAAACCTCACAGGGCATGGTACCACGGGACATGGAGCCATTTGGGCCTCTTGGTCCTAAGGGACCTCCATAGCCCCCAGCACAGGCACGGAGGGGCTCACCCATGAGGAAATCCAGGATCGTCATGTCGATGAGGTCGAGGAGGCGATGGCCCCTGTCATAGGGCGGTGTCTCTCGCACCTGAGCGCAGTAGTTGGGATTCAGCTCCCACCTGGTGGCAGAGGCCAATGAGGGCAATGGGGCCATGAGAGTGGCTGTGGAGAAGCCCCCTCCCATCCCATGGCTCTTCTGGCCCATGTCCCCACACCCCCCATGCCCCGTCTCACTCAGCCTTCTTGCTCTTGTGGTAGGAGCGGCGCCAGGGGCTGCGCCAGGAGCGGCGCTTGGCCAGGGTCTTGTCAGGGAGCAGGGCAGCCATGGAGCCCTCCAGCTGGTCCGGTTTGCCACAGAGGGCATGCTCGGTGGAGCAGTAGTAGGAGCACTCCCCATAGAAGCAGACATTTCCCGCTGGCCATGGGGACAAAGCAAAAGTTGACAAAGAGAAGGAAGGCAATGAGCCCCAGGTAGAGTGATCCAGCAAGCAGCCAGGGGAGGATCCTCCATGTGCTCTGGCCATGTGCTACCAGCAAAGCAATGGCAAGGGAGGCTGTGAGGAGCAAAGGCCTGTGGCAGGATACCCATGGGAGCTGGAACAGTCTCCAGTGGGATAGTTTGTCTGAGTGCAGGGGAGCAGCAGCCAGCTCCAGGGGAGCTCCAGCCAGGTGGCCACAGGAGAGGATAGAGAGCATGAAAGCTCACCTGGGGAGATGAAGAAAGTCTTGGCCAGTTTCTTGTCTGTCGTGATATCCCGAATTTCCTTTGTTATGTTAACCAAACGGCCAGAAACTGGGGGGATTCGCCGGAAATCCAGGATCCTGAAACACGAAACTTGGAACCATTTCTTACTGACCTCAGCTGGTTTAATAACAGCGAACTTTTAAAAGTATTAAAACTGACGGGAGACACAGGTATCCCTCACAACAGGGAGCGAGAGGTGGGATGAAGGAGCAGTTTCTCTGGTGCTTTGCCAGTATGGGAGAGCAGGGTTGGATGCAAAGCTTATGCTCACCTGTCCAGGTGGAAGGCTGCAATCTCTGCATTGTGCCGCTCAAAGTCTGAGAAGTAGAAGAAATCAATGGGGGTCTCCTGGTCCCGGGTCTGCCTGGAAGGAGAGGGGATGGTGGCACAATCATCATGGATGGGGCCACTCCAGGCATGGGATTAGTTCTAAACCTCCACTCACCTTGTGCTCCCTGGTGACACTGGAGACACAGCCAGACCCAGACTCCTCCAGTCACTTCCTGATGGGTGGGTGGTTCCAAGCCCCCTATCAAGGCTCCCACACAACCCCTGCCTCCAACTCAAGGGTGGGGAAGCCCTCATGGACCACCTTCTTCTTTCCACCACTGGAGGTCACTACCCCATCACAAGCTGCATCCAGTTTGCAGCAAGCACCACCGGGGAAGGCAAGGGAAACGGGACCATCCTGCTCGCCTCGGTTTGGGGATGGAGGTGCTTGAAGCGAGGCAGCACATGAAGCATTTCTCCATTTCTCCCTCCATGGTCCCCTCTGGCCACTTCTCGCTACCTAACAGGACTGTGTGGGTGAGGTATAGGGTTGTCCCAGGCTCTACTCACTTCATGGGCTTGAAGAGGGCCTGCCCATAGTTTGGGAACATCATGATGAGCTTGAGCTGGGTCCCACCAGACTTCTGGACTGAAAGGAGGGAGGGGATGAGGGAGGCAGGCAGCAGGCAGTGGGGCAGGGGTGTGAACAGGGGTACAGGCAAGGAGGTGGTACCTGAACTGACGATCCTTTGCGTGGCCAGATCCCGGAGAAGCGTGGGCAACAAGGGGTCCCGTCGGGGGTACAGCTCATAGCGGTTGATGCCGATGTGGAATTTGAGCCAGGTGGGGTAGGTGTCATAGGCTGTCTTCCCTGTCGGGAGGAGCGTCTCGGCTTTACTGCTGCTGACCCTGCAGCCCGACAGCCACCACCACCCCAACAACAATGACAGCTTTTAGTCAGGATAGGATGGATCCCTTGTCTCTGGGCCCTTCCTGGGAGCCAGTGCATGAAGGGTGAAGTGGGGAGAAAGCCCAGAGCAAGCCCTGGATGTGTTCCAGGTTTCGTGGTGGTGGAGCCCCCTGACCCATATGCCCTCCATGGGGCTCTTGGCACCTGGCAGATCCCATCCAAAGTTGGTGGCCAGGAAGACCCACCAGCATGGCTGGATTGGACACAGTGTCTTCCCTCCGTCCCCCATGGAAAATCCCTGGGTTGATTCTGCTTCTCTCATCCATGCATTTATTTCTTTGCTGGAAGAGATAATCTCATTGTTTTTCCCTAAGGGATTGGCTCCCAGGAATACAGTCCGCTACACCCCTCCATGTGCTTACTGGGGACACACATGTGTACACAGAACAAGGGTAGAGAAGCATGGGCTTCCCAGCCATACTCAGCACTGACCTGAACTCCCATCCTCAACAACCCATTGCTCTTGGGTGGGTTTCCCCAGGGGGATAAGTTTGGGGTTAGCATTATCCCTGTCTCTGTGCATCCTGCAAATTTGCACTTTCCTGGCATTCAAGGGAGTCCCTAGGGGTATCTGCCACACCTCTGTGCTAGGACACACTAGCAGTGCAATGGGACAGTTAGCCCAGTGCATCTATAACCCAAATCCATGTCTCTCTCTAGGAAAACAGCCTGTGCATTGATTTCATCAAACCAGACCCAAGGCTACCCATAGGTGTTCCTAAGAGACAAGGCAAATGCCCATTTGTGGAAACCAGCACTTAAGCCAGGTTTTATTCACTCCCAGTTCTGGCAGGCACCACTTTTGGAAGGTGTGCTTTCCATAAGGAAGCTGCTGTGTGTTACAGTGTTAAAGGTTTTAATATTTTCCCTTCTAATTAGAGGTTAGTAGTCCAAAGATAAAAATAGACAGCCATCAGCAGTCAGCTCACCACACAGCCGAGCCTAAAGAGGTCAGGCAATATCCTGCAAAATGCAGGACAGGAATTGTCTCATGGTTAGAGGTAACCTACATTGCAGGCTTTGCATCTCCAACATACCGTGAGGGGGGGATAAAACTGGTTAGAAATCTGGAGTGGGGACTTCCTCATATACAGAGAGAGACTGAGGGCTAGTCTGCATTGGAGAAGGAGCTGAGATCGCTTAATAGATATCCATAATACAATGAATAATTCAAGAATCTCCTTTAGCTTTGCTGTGTCCTACAAGCTTATGGGTAGCAGCCCAAAAATTCAGGGCTAGGAGAAGATCTGAGAAGTGAGAAATGTGTAGCAATGTGTAGCAATGGGGGCCCCTCTGGGGTAGGATGCTGACCTACAGAAGGAAACTACTTGTTTGGTCCCTGCTGCTTGTCCCCTCAAACCCACATATCCCCCAAATTCAAGCTAGAGCTGAGCTTGCTCCTCACCATTCATCACTCCTGCTGCTGTGCAGGCTGAACTTCTCCATGGGGTTGATGATAAACAGCTTGTCTTTCTCTGTCACCTCTGGGACTGGGATGTTGTAAAGAGGATGCTCGAAGAGTGCTGCCAGCTTGGATCCCTTGGTCCACCCTGCATTCCCTTCTTCATGTTGCTGTTGGACCCCTGGCTCTTCAGCCCCCAAGTGCAGCCCCATTTTCTGTGGCTGGGAACTTTTCTCCAAGGAGCTGTTGCTTCCACTGAAATCCTGAAGGATTCGCAGGCTCAGCTTTTTGAGGCCAGCTGGCATGGGGCTGCCTGAAGGGACACCCCCAGCTTTTGATGCTTCTGTATCACAGCCACAGGGCCTGTGGGCTGTGGGGAGAGCAAAATCCATCACCAGGTGCATGAGAAGGGCCAGGAGCAGAAGAAGGAGAAGGCTGATTTTAAATTTCCTCTGGAAAAGCGTTTGCAGCCGGCACCGCATCCTTCCTCACGCAAAACACTCAGCAAGGGATGGGCAGCCACACAGGGTTAAAAACGTTAGTGTGGCTGCAGCCTCTGTGCAAAAGTAGGAGAGAGGTTTCCTGGATTTAGAGCATCTCAGCAAAAGAGCAACCAGTGCAAGTGCAGAGTGGCAGGAAAGATCTGTCACCGCAGCATCTTACGGTGTGACACCACCAGGATGGGACAGGAGGTTGTGGCAGGGTTTATCAGCGCTGATAAGGGTCAAGCTGGCACTGCCAAGGTTAGAGTGAACGGGGCAGGTTCCAAATCAATAGCTGCAACACTGGCTCAGGGACAGCAATGGCTGCAGATGAATCCCCACTGTCCTGTCTCTCAGTACTCACACCTGCACAGGGCTGCAGAATATTTCCTTGAATACAGGGCTGAATACAGTCAAACAGTTCTGCCCCTCTGCAGCACACACCCTACCAAGCATGATGTAGCCCCATTCCCCATGTTCATCATAGCTGCTCTCTCAGAATCCAGAAGAATTTTTTTCCCATTGCTCAGCTCTATCAATTTTATCACCCTCCCTCATCTATTGAAAAGCAGTTGTACTCAAACCCCGTCTCAAAAACCACTCAAACTGGATAAAACAAAGAGGATGTGAGTATTGACATTGCTGTGAGGAGAAATGCTGGGTGTGCAGTGTAAAGAAGGGCTACCAGGCAGGTGAGTTTCAGGGTCAGGGATGTTCCCAGGACCTCTAAATCAGGTAGGGGAGGCAGGCAGGAATGGGGATACTGCCTTGGGCATCAGCACAGAGGGGCAGTGGGACCCACCAAGTGCTGGGGAAGATTGTCAGCTTGTGGAAGATCTTTTTTTTTTTACAAGAAATTCACTTTTTCGGTGACACCCAGAGACACAGAGCTGGGATGCGTACACAAAACCGGTTCATGACTTGTAGGGGTGGAGCTTTGTATTTGATAAGGGACAGAGAAGCACGGAACCACCTGCAGTAGTTCTGTGGGCTGGGGTACAGTCTGGCACAACGTTTCTTTTCTTTTTGATCATCCAAATGATGCAGAAGGCGTGTGAAATCCCATACATCATGTAGTCCTTCCTTGTCGCGTGATGCACCAGCAGCCAGCTTGGAAATGCTCCCATCCAGGGAAGGTATGATGGGCAGTGGGCAGGAGGGGATATTCTGGAGCCCCCCTCCTCTGCAGCCATCCCCGCGCTGCCCTCTCCGCACGGTCCTGTGCCGTGTCCCCGGGTGCGTGTCTCGGTCCCCTGGCAGGCGGCGCGCTGGGAACGCCGTGTCCCCGCTGTTCTTGGCTCGCGTGTCCCACGGCGCGACAGTTGCCTGGAAACCAACTCCGGCTGACACCATCACCGCCCCAGATTCAGCCAGCCCCGCGTTCCCCAGCCTTCTGCTAGCAAGATGGCCGAGGAGAGCCGGGGCAAGCGAGGAGGAGGAGGAGGAGAGCTTTCCAGCCCGGCTGGCGAGCTCGAAGCCCCGCAGAAGGAGCTGCTGGAGGGCAGCAGATGGCTTCCCTGGGCGGGGGAACACAGCGTCCTGCTCCGGGAAGTTTGCTGAATTCAGTCCGGACACATGGTTCAGACAGAAGGCCCCTAGGAGGGGCTGGAGCTGGAACATGGGATCATTAGGTCATGGCTCAGAAAAACAACCAACCAACCAAAACACCGATTCCGTGTTTAACTGGACGTGTACTAACTGATCGCATCAAAGGAGCTGGGCTCGGCTCACGGGTTTCATTATTCCACAGCCAGCCCAGAAGAGAGGAGACCTCCTCCTTCCAGTGTCCCAAATGGGGCTGGAGGGGATAGAAACCTCTTTCTCATATCTTGGAGTCAGGCACAGGGACCCTGTGGGCTGAAGCCACCCTACTGGCTGTTAGTCCCATATCCAGTTAATGAAATCTGCAATCCTCACCCTGATTTAGCATCCCATTGGAAAGGAAAGGCAGGGGGCTTAGGCGAGGCATTTTCTACCCTTAGTACTTCAATATTAGCATTAAATATTAACCAAAAGATTTTTCAGCGAGTCAGACATGAGCCTGCAGCAACAGAGAAGAGCTGGAGACTTTCAAAGCCTGTCCTGATCACCTGACAAGCACTTCGATGTACCTTGTTGCCATGACATCATCATAGAGACATGGTTGAATTTGCACCTCTTTCTTCTCATCTCCCCCCTCCAGCTCTTCCTCCATCTTCCCAGCAGGTTCGAGTCACCCTTGGGGCGGAGGAGGAGCCCTACATCCGAGGACATTTTCACTGCTGGCTCCAAATCAGGACTCATCGGCAGCTGATAATGATGTTCCCGTCTCCCCTCAGCAGGGAGGGATGAAGTCATGAGGCACAGCCTCTGAGCTGCTATCGCAGCTCTAGGGGACGGGTGGATAGAAAGAGTCATTTTGGCTGCCACCCATCCATCACCCTGCGTTTTTCATCTCATTTTCTACATCTGACTCAGCCTGATGCTTTGATGGGTAATGGCAGCAATATGCAGGGGGGCAAGAAATGAGAGGAAAACGCAATAGCAAGAAAACTGTTGCAAACTCCAAGCTTTCCCCTGAAAATCCATAAGGAAAAATCGTCCAGCAACTGAGAGCAATTTTATAGTAAAAAGTAGAGAGGCCTTAGAAGCTCCAAGGTCTCATAGAATCCTAGTTTGGGCTGGAAGGGACCTTTGGGGGGTCACCCAGTCCAATGTCCTTGCAATGACCAGGGACACCTTGAACTAGATCATATTGCTCAGAGACTCATCCAACCTATCCCTGAATTCTTCCAGGGGTGGGGCACCCACCACCTCTCTAGGCAACCTGTTCCAGTGTTTCACCACTCATTCTAAAAGACTTCTTCCCTATATTCAATGTAGAACAAACCTCTTTTAGTTTAAAACCTCTAACCCTTGTCCTATCACAAGAGGCCCTGACAAAAAGTCCCTCTCAGGTTTTCTTGTTGACACCCTTTAGGTACTGGAAGGTGCTATAAGGTCTCTCCACAGTCTTCTCCAGGCTGAACAACTCCAACCCTCTCAGCCTGTCTTCTTAGGAGAGGTGCGTCAGCCCTCTGATCATGTTTATGGCCTCCTCTGAACTGGATCCAGCAGGCTCATCAGCCACAGAGGGGCATCTTGCGACCCAAAACACAGGATAAGGACCATCTCTTATCCAAAAACCTTACTCCTCTGAAAATTACAGATATGGCCAAAAATGTTCCAGCTCCACAGCAAAAGGAGGGTGAAAGTCTTTTTTCTAGCACACGGCCAGCAAAGCATAGCTCAACTTGCAACAGGCAGGACAATTGATCTGATTGAACACTTGCCCCAAGCTCTGACACACACAGACACGCTTTTGGAGGCTGATGCTTGTGCCTTCAGGAACAATACCAATGACAGGAATGCAAACCAGCTAACAAGGGTTTGCCTCCTCATGGTAACTTCCTGTAGGAAAGCTGTTACCCTTGTGAATAAAAATAGCCTGCCACTCTCCTGTGAGCTACCTTGCGCTCACCTGGTGAGAATGGCAGTGTGGCAGCTGACTTGCTGCACGTTCACACCTAGCTCACCTCAGTGTTTGCACACAGGCTTTGAGAAGGCTGGGGAGCACTTCTTCACCCTTCTCCTGTTGCCAGTGCAGGTCATAGAGACATTAGCTTTGGTCAGCTGGTGGCCAAGAAGATAAACAGGCAGCAAGTCCAAGAGATTGTGTGCTGAGGTCAGCAGCTGCCTGTGGTCATCTGCAGGTCACCACGACCCCGCAGAGATTCCCATGACCAGCACGCCTGTGCATATGCGCAGAACAGTTAATTATTCATTAGTGTGAAAGAGGCACAATTAAAGTGATGGTGGTATGGCTGAAGGGATCATCCCACTCCAGCATGGGGCATTCTAAAGACTTTACCTCTTGCTCTGAATTTAGAAGAGAGAAAGTTGCAGAAGAGGAAGTAATGTTTTCCACCTGCCAGCTGAAGAAAGTGTTGCCAATAGCACTATTTTCACGTAAAGTCAGCCAGCTGGAGGGACACAGAACAACCACACAACGAGACAGCTTAGAGGATTTGGGCTCTTCTACACAGCACAACAGTCATGATCGTGGGGCAG